TACTAATAACAAAACTGTTATGAAAACATTAAATTACACAAAGTGAGATGAAGACAATTTTGGTCAGCAATACAAGAATCTTTCCATATCAACCTTTGTTTCACTTATAAACAAAAAGCTTTCTAAGAACCTTTCCAAGGCTCTATTGGATTACAATAAAGATAATTATAGAACTGAGATGAACCCAGTGGCTCTCTTGTAATGCAATACAGCCAGTTCCAGCTACCTGAATGCCAGCACAATTTGGCAGGGACCCACAGCCTGTTCTTTCATGGCTTTTTTTTACCTATCTATCTCAAGGGAGGAGGTGACTTCTGGCCAGGTGCCAGGCACTCTCACAGGCAGCAGTAACTTGCAGTATTGGAGGCAGGGTAGGAAAACCCAGTACTTGAAGGAGGCCTGAAGAGTGAACAATGTTTGCAAAACAATAGAAGGATCTCTGAAAAAAAAAAAACAACTTTGCCATAAAGGTTTTGGGATAATGGGGGATTTTTAGGTTTCTTAGTTACTTCAGAATTTATTTCAAGAGACACTGCATCTGCATTTTAATGTGGGGAGGGGAAGTTGAAAAAACAGAGATAATGGATCTACTGCTAAGCAAAAACTAATGTCAGTTACAGATAAATTTAAATGGCTGATCTGGCCTTTCTGTACTCACATTATGCTATTGTCAGGTGGACAGTGTCTACTTCTTTTAGCTTACTATCCAAACAGAAATCAGTTAATTATTCTACAGATTCCAAACTAAGAGGACATATATACCTAATGATAAAGGCACTGGGTGAATCTTTAGCCACTAGACAGTGGAGTGAGTACAAGGGAAGACAAGTGCAGGGAAGACAAACAAGACAGAATTCAGCCAATTATTGTGCAATAGAATAGTAGGGGGGAAACTGCCAATTTGTCACTGCTGGAGTACTGACACAGGCCACCTATGAAGGTGCTAAAGTCTTCTTCAGTGGAAGTTAGGAATGAGTTAGAAAAACAGCCATCAGGGTTGGTACTGTCATAACTGATCCAGTCTCAGCACAGGTCCCTCAGAATGACAGCAGCGACCCTGACCCGTTTTTTGAAGCTAAATGACACTTTTGACACCCATGGCTACATCAGTAGCATTATAAAGGATCACAGCTGTTCTGTAAAATATTTTGCAAAAGACAATTCAGCTGCACAAGTGATTAGGGCAAAGAGGAATAAAACACAAGATCTTCTTAGGAGAGAGCAGCCTAGACAGAATATATAAATCTCTCTCCTGGAAAGCTGTGGTCTGCCATCTGCACACCTTCAGCCACAGTATAGAAAGATTTCTTAGGTACTGCAGAACCCCTTTCAGGAGCACTGCACAGGGCTACTTGTTGGGAAGGAGAGGGAGAGAAAAAGTTACCTGAAATATCTTTGACAATTAAAATACTGCTGACAGCAATCACACAGGACATCACTGGTGGAAGGAATCACTCTGGAGAAGCGGTTATACACCACAGTACTGTTGTATCTTAGACATGTCCTGCCCACTTGATGCTTTTACAGGCATTTAGCAGAAGCTGGAAATAATCACAACTCTGAAGGCAATTTTAAAGCCAAGCAGAGTTCTAAAACTTGATTAAAAAATATCCACATAAACAGCACTAAAGGTCAGTACCAATCACCTGTCCCTGCTTTGGGGAATGAAGGAAGGGGAGGAAAAGATCAAAATCATTACCTGAATGGACTTAAAAAATCACACCTTTGGGAGCTGTTCCAAAATGCTTCTTACCCACTATTTTGGATGGAAAGATCAAAGAAGAAATGTTAAAGGTAGGAGGAGAATATACAAACAGTTACAAAAAATACAAATTTTGTCAACTTGTGCGACTGTCGTCCATTTGGTGGAAGGGACACAGATTCCAAGCAGCCTGAATGCTGCAGAACTATCTCAATAACCAGCAGCTTCCAGCAGCAGCTCTTTCCAGTCAAGACAGAGCTCCAAATGTAATAACTTCATTAAGCCCTCCACCTTTTTCTTACTTCTACTCAGCTGGAACCATAGAAAACAGCTGGTATTTCAACTGATGCCTAAAGAGAACTTTTGTTCCTTTCCCCGGCCATATGACAGGACTCTGTGACTTTCTCTAACAGAGGCTTTTGATGGCATGCAAAAAGTGTAATGTCTTACATAGCTACAGTGCACAAGGGCCCCCTCCAGCACTAAGAACCTGTTGTGTTAACCCCTTCGTGCAGAATTTGGTGCTGCCTGCTAAGAAGCAAATTCAAGACATGCAGAAAATTTTAAGAAATTCTACTTTTACATATCTTAGTGAGGAAGTTTTATCTTTATTTAAGACACAGAACCAAAGAAATCATGGAAACGATTTCCCTGCTTTGGAGGCAAAGCCTCCCAGGGCTGTTTCACCCAGGCACTGCAACTCTGCATGACCTCTAAGTCAGCAGTTCTCAGCAAGACAGAGGACAGTGGAGCTCCAGGGAGGCCCAGGCACAGCTCAGAGCATCCAACCTCTTGGCTTAGATGTTAGTCTTGCTCAAATGCAGAAAAAATGTAACCAAAATAAAAGTCCTCTTTCCTTACATTACAAAGAAGAGAGAGAAGCATTTGAAAAGATGGAATTGAACTAGTCAGCATGATCCTGCTAATTTCTAGGCACCGATTTTCACAAAGGAGATAAGAGTAGGAGTAGGAATGAGTTTGTCACGGACTTCATGTACCATCTACAGAACAGCATTTGGCATCTCTTGCTCATATGTCAAATGCATGCCTCCGCAGTATTCCAGATACGGTTTCTGATTTATTTTTTTTTTAAGAAGAATTTAATGCTGACTTAATAAAAGTGATAAATAGATCATCTGTTTATGGGGCAAATCATGAACATACCAATAGAGAAGTACTATCAAACTGCTTAAATCCTCCCACAGCTGAATAATGGAAAAAACTATTCTCCAGATCTTGGCCTGTCTGCCTGTTTCAAGGAATCAGCTGTGGTGTTAGGGGCATCTGTTTTGCAGCTGTCAATTATTTTAGCAGTTTCGAAATTCATCTCTTGAGTTTGGCAACAGAGGTAGAATCTTGTGATTCTATTACTGATCCTCAGAGCTCTGTAAATCCAAGCTCAACACCTTTCATAGTATCAGGTTAACTGATACTTAGATTTCTTTACCAAAACAAATCATTACCTAATACTAATGTTCCCAGAAAATTTCAGAATTAGGCTGTACATAATATACATGTCTATATATTGTGTACAAAAGACTTGAAGCACAATGCAAATCTTTATGGTGACATGCTTAATGTGCAGCTTCTGAGAAATTCTGATAAAATACTAAGGAAAGATCTGGCACTGCTGTCACCAGCAAACATCACAGAATTAAACAAAGTCAAAATAATTTTATAGCCTCAAATACTGATGTGTACTTGTCACAGAAAACTTCTATCAGTTTCTGGGCATAAAGTGATGTAACATTAAATAGTATCTAGTGAAGGTACTGCTGTACAATATATTGCATGGGTGAATTTCACCTCACCTCAGAATTTAACTTTTTGACAAAGTAGCTGTTTGCCAGAGCCATGTGGATATCGTCAAAGGGCACATGTGGTACAGTAACAGTGTACCAGATGAAATCTCAAGATTTTGCAAGTCCAACCTCAAGTGTGCAGTGAGTTGAGAAGGCCTTAAAGAATCTTTCTAGACCTCTCAATTTCATCCTACACTGAGGCATTGGTGCAAAGTGAATGGTTCTCCCTCCAGCTGGAAGACAAATGCTACAAATTTCATCAGGTCTGCTGAATATAAGCAAGAGGTTTTAATTCAAACACTGCTACCAGGTAGCTTAAAATATAACCTGAAAATGTTAAGATGAGCCCTTGGGACCTCTACAAGCTGATGCATCCATACCCAATAGAAAAAATCCCTTGTTGGACACAGGTTCTCTGGCACATGAATTTCCAAAAAGTCAGTGACATAATGGCTTTGCCTATTTTTTACAACCAGAAAAATGTGCTCAGTCCTTCAGAATAATGACTTTTATTTTAAAGACAATTATTATGCTCTTACTGAGTATCACAAAAAAGTTTATTTCCCATAATGGCATAAGCTCTGGCCAAATTTCACTACCTGGGTTTAAGACAGGTTTCAGAACAGATTTTTTAAACATGAGGGAAAGAGGGGGAGGAACAAAACCCTGCAGTTGCTGAATTATGCTATTTATAATGACATTAGATATTCGCAGTCATTACAGGAATATTGTGCTTCATGATCCTTATGATTTCCTGGGAGAATCAGTCAAGATTCATAATACTTCACAATTCACTTGCTAATATCTTCCTTGGGCTTTGGCTTTAAGGTACTGCTGGGAACTATACCACGTCAAATAATGAAAGTTGGCTACTAATCATGTCCTGTTTGGCACCTGGCATGGTATTATGACAATACATACCACATCCAAAGTCTTATGCACTTCAGAGATAAGAGCTCACATGGATAGTTATATTTAAGTGGTTTTGCAACTACTACTGTATACTTATGAGGGGAGATACTCAAGGCCTGAGGATACAGCCTCAAAGGATTAGAAAGAGGCTATTAACATACTACACATAAAATTATCACAACCCTCCACTTTTGAATCTGACACTGACTTTGATAGTTTCTGCTTCTACTGGTCACTTCAGACAACTGAAAGCACTTTTTGTACTATCTACATTTTCCAGATTCTATAGGCAAATCTTATCCTGCTGAGAATTCATAGGCCTCCCTTCCTAATCTCCACAAGACATTCTGCCTTAAACGCTACTGTCTTGTTTAGGTTAGCAGTTGTGCCTGTGACAGCTCTATACACTGCCTTCTGGAGCTCCCCAGCTCCACAGAATACTCATGCCTGTTTTGCAGATGGGGGAGGGTTGCCATATGCCAATGCAGTAGAAATTCTTGACTCACGGTCAAAAGCATCCAAAAAAGTCAGTATGCAGGATTTTCGGCCATATGGAGGAATTGTTATCTGGCCTTTTCTCTAGCTGTATCTCATTAAGCAAAAAGGAAAGAAAAAGGGGAGGATATTATTTTCTTCTTTGCAAATCTTGCCCCAGAGTTAATCTTCACTTGAAAGACAGCGTTCATTTCTGGTACCTAGAAAACCAAGAAGGAAGTTGTAAGAATCTCCGGGATTGAGGACAATGTTCTGTCCAATTCAACAGGTTTTCTTTAAGTCTTTTACACTTTGAATATGACTTCTTTCAGAGAAGAGGAAGAATTATTACAGAGAGCTAGGACTGGTTCTACTGGGCTCAGAAAGACCAGAGTAGAAAAAGAACCACCTTCCCTTCCATGAAGTCTGTAATGGTGCATTACAGTAAAGCTGTTTTATTACCTCCATATACTGCAGCATTTTGAAGGTGTCACTCGTAGCACTTCCCTGATTCTTGAGTGTTCTGCAGTCTATTTTGCTAAATATGGGAGGTTTGTTTAATCTGAGATTTTGCTGGGATTTTGCCTTCACAGAAACTCATGCGGTATTAACATAATGCAGACATTTGTGTTTTAACTTTACAGAGCCAATATCATGGCCAGTATAAAAACAGAAAAGCAATCAGATACATGTTTAAAAATTATAAAGACATATACAAACCTCAAAGTCTCTCCGCTTCTTTACGATCTTCCTCAATATAGAAAGACGTCAGGAGGAAAAAACCTCCTCCAAAGACACCAACAAAAGCGCACACTACAAAGCTGTACTGCAGGCTCCAGAAACTCCACTGGAATGAGCAAGTGTTCTTGGCCTGGATAGCATTGGAGATCTAGGGAGTGAACAAGACTGTCATTAATCTGGGACAGCATCATCCTCCTCTCTTGGTTTAAACAGACTGTTGACAGTGTGGTCCTTGAAAAGAATGAAACCAGGCAGACAGGGAGGAAAGCTTGCTACCAAAGTTTGTCAAACCCAGTACACAGTACACCTGCACGTCACTGCTGTCCAGCTTCCATTTGGTCAAGGTATCTCATGTTCTTTTATACTTTCAGTGCCTCCAGTCACAAGGTAAGGAAATACTGCAACCAATGTTTATAATGTTTGGTAAGCATTAGCTCATTTTACCATTTTCTAGCTCATCTCCAGATAGTTAGCACAGGACAGACATTTGGCAATGATCTTTATAATTTCTTGGTGTTATTCCATAACTTTATACCTCCCTAATCAGCATCAAATTGATAGAAAGAGGGGGCTAGTATCAATTCACAAGGCACAAGCAGCAACACTCATTAAAAAGGAAGAGCTGGAAATTAGAGACAGGAGTGGAGTCTACTTTTGAGCCAAAAGCATTTGAAGAATCATGGAGTGACATTATGAGGAACTGGGAAGAAGATATCAGGCAGCTGCTTTTTGCACTGGCTGAAGGACAAGGTTGTAAAAGCTATAAATGATACACATGAATTTTATTTTTGTGGACAGAAAGAAAAGCTGTATTTAAAGAAATTCACTAAGATTCAATACAACCCAGGAATTTAAAATCTCTTCTTAGCATAAACAAAAAGATGAATGTCAAATGCAGTCATTTTTATTCCCTCTTTTGTTCTTGATGGTTAGAATATGCTGTGACTTGAAATACATAAAGACAAGACTCTTCAATCTTTGCTGGATTTAGTATGATTATTTATGACAGTTTAAGCAGATAAGAGCAAGATCAACTTTAAATGGTCACCTAGGGACTACAGCAAGCATAATGGTCAAAATACAAACCTAGTGCCTTTAATTTTTAAATGCTTAGTAAGAAAATCTCTGGAGCGCAGAGGGAGGAAAAACAGACTGAAAGAGACTGCTCCCTGAGTCTCCAGCCAGTTTTTAAGATAAAGGATTAGCTGAAGCAGGTTAGTAAACAATAGCAAGACATGAATGCAGAAGATTTGGTGTTTAATCAACAGCAGACGTGGGCAGCATTGGTGTATTGGTTCACAGAAGCATTCCAGAAGACAATGTTGCGGTCTTAGCATAGGACCCCACTTGGACATGCAGTAGTTCTATTCCTGGATTTATTGTCTCTGTTCTCTGAAAAGTAGCAAGGTTACCTGAGGTTAATCTCATCTGGATAAGCTTTTTTTGTCTTCACACTTTTCAATTAGCTGCTATTTAGGGCAACTGCATGCAAGGTACTGCGTAAGAAGTATTCTGCACACAGTTACTAGCAGGATGCAGCCACATCCAGCAGGAAGCCTCAGTTCTGCCTGTGACTCAAAGGTGGCAAAGAACAGTGGGTAAGAGCTACAGACATTTTAGTCTTTCGGTCAGGAAGCATAAGTCAATAGAGTAGTCAAAGGAAGAATGCACTAGGCATATTTCAGCTTTTAAGATACCTTCCATTTCTGCATATCATTTTTCATGGCACGGGGATGGTGGTTATTATGTTCCCCCATCCATACAGCCAAATCAGTGAGAGGGCAAGAGTTTCATAATACACACCAATGAGCAAAGTGGTCTCTTCACTTGCCAAAAAAGAGATCCAGCAGGAGGAATCTCTCAGTGAGAGCAGGCTGTCTTCTCTGCCAGAAACATGACACAGCTGAGACTGCTTTTCACCCAGAATAAGGAGGATCTCCTGTCTGGCTGGACCAGCAACAGCTGTGCATGCAGGCACAGCTCACGGGCATTTCTGTATGGCCCTGTCTAACCCTGACACTGTTAACATGTGACAAAGAAAGAACAGATATTCCTGAGGTGAACATCTTAAAATAAACTTCCATATTAAAAAAACTTTAAAATGACAACAACTCACTCTCCCATGTAAAGCAGAAAAATCAAAGTGGGTGATTGTTTAGCTACTGTGTGCAGAATTACTGTGTCTTAAATTAAAAAAAATAAAGGAAGGAAACAGTGCTGACACATATCATCCACTGGAAATAAGACAAAAGAACAGCAAGGAGAAGAGTACTAGGCTGCTCTGTCCAGAAGCACCTAATATTAAGTAAATGTAGGAAGGGTAGAGAAACCAGGTCTCAAGCAATATGAGAATCCAAGGTTAAGGTAATTTGAAACCAGAGCTTTAAATGCCAAGTAGTATCAAAGGCAACCACTGCAGTCACTCTTGTTCTGATTTTCAAGAGACCATTGACTAATTGCAAGATTCCAATCCTCAAGATCTGAACTAGGAGTTTAGGTTTTATGGTATTTGATTAACTTCCATGAAACTCCTCACAAACTTAGCAGAAAGGGCTTAAATCCAAGTACAATACCCATAACACAATCTTTGGAAAAATGTATGCCTTCAAAAATCTATGAGTTTGCAAATTCAGAATCAAAATAAATTTATACACACTGCATGGAACTACTCACACCTAAAGGTGTAGGATTATATTTTACGTACCTGCAGTGTCACAGGATCAGAAGTTTCATGCAAGTAAAAATGGTTAGAAAAATGTCTATATTCTAGTATCAAGGACACCAATTTGAATACTTTCTAGTTTTGGACCAGGAAGTGCCTACAATTCTGTGAGTGTCTTTTAGTTTCTAAAAGCTTTGCCCTAAGGAAAGCCCAATAAGCAGAAGATTCACTTACAGTCCCAATGAGATACGGGCTGCCTGCATCTCCCAGCAGATGGCTCACCAAAATCTGCAGGGCAATAGCTGTAGACTGTCGTCTTGGTGTCACAACATACTGAAACAAAACACAACCCACAAGAGAATGAATATTAACAGAGTGAATGTCATGAATGGACAGCCACTGATATAACAGCCTAGAGAGATTAATATATTCATTTTTATTTATTTCATATGCAAACACTGGCTATAAGTTTGGAGACAGAAGTTATTCCAAGCAAAAGAGTACATTGGATGTTTTGTTGAGGAAAAAAACATTCAAGAAAGCAACACACAAGGGGGGGTGACAATGGAGTAGAAAAAAAAAAAGACTTTTCTGCCTCCATTTGTAGACTCACAGCAGCTTGTACAGATTCACTTGGCCATGCAACTAGCAGAAACCTCCAGCCAGTAACCCTTGCAGTCATACTCATTTACCAATAAGGAGATGCAGCACTGACAGCCTCTGAGAAGAATCTCTTGTGACACTGTCAGCAGGCATGGTCTGAGGAGAAACTGGGGTACCTGGAATTTGAAATATCTGCCATGGCTTTAAAGGATGTCTGCTGAGACCTTTCAGACCACATGAAGACAGGGAGGAGACCCAACCTGTCAGACCAGAAGGTGCCTGATGGTGCTTTGATGACAGCTTTGATGGCAGAAGTTTGCTGCTTATAACCAGATAGCACCTGAGATATTGCTACTCTAGTAACATCACCTCAAAATGATTGTGCTTTTGAGTGCACACACTTTAAATAACAAGCTGGAGAAGATGTGGTGCACATCCAGAACACAGCAAAGCATTGCACAGATTAGAACTATTTTTTAAAATGAAATGTAGTAATTATGGGGTAATAAGGGCTTTATGTCTGTGTCACTAAAGATCGACTGTGCCTGAAGAAGTACAGAATGATTCTATATAATTTGTGTTTCTCTCTTTCAAGAATACATTTACACAAAAAGCATTCACAAGCAGAATGAGACAGGAGCAATTTTAAACCTTCATAGCTTTGTTTTCCAACCATTTGCTTGTATCAGAGACAAAATGCTTAATATTCTCCCAGTCCTCTATTCCCCAATCTGATTTTTTGGGAAACTGATCTGAACATCATTAGGGTGTCTCAAGCACTAATTAATAGGGTGACTGGTGTTTTACCAAGAGACAAACTCGAGGCTTACAACCTATATTGTGGCTCTGGAGCCACCTTCAAGGAAACACTGACACAGGGCAAGTTAGGTTTAAAAGAAAAAAAGATCCTGCTCTCACATTTTAGAGTTTTATTATCGTTCTTTGTGTTTAAAGAGGCCTCAGAATATTAGAGAAAAAAATATTTACCTACCACTAAGATGTAGCTATATATCACAGTAGCAACGTTAATGCCACATCTTTAGGGTGAGTGGAACTGCATTAATGGACATTAAAACAGGCAGGTGAGTCCAAGACACCAAGGTTTATTACTCTTGTGAGAATCAGAGCAAAAAATACTTAAGTGCCCTATGCAGTCAGGATCTATAAATACCAATAAGTTACAGCATTTTAAATTAACTTGAAAGTTCAAAGCCATAGCATGGATGCAGAAACAGGAAGGACAATAAGCTGTATTACTGTAATGGTTTGCATTCGGGGTGGTTTGACGGAGGATGCTGTAGCACTGCATTCCTTCCCTTCTTGCAGCCTCCATCTGCAGGAGCTGCATGACATACATTCTTGGTATGAAGACTGGGCCACATATAGATTGAAAACACCTAAAAATGTTATTTTGATAAATTCATAGAGTAATCATGATTTACATCTTGTAAGTATCATGCCAAGCTTTTTCCATTGCTATGGTTTTCATGCTGTATGTCTCTCTCTCTCTCTCTCTCTCTCTCTCACAAACATCCTTCTACCATTTTCTCTCATGTTTGACAAGATGTATGTGCTGCAGAGTCTTTCCCTAAAATGAAGCTCTTCTGGGGGGTGCCAATCTGGATCATTTTTCCCAGCAAGGTCACCAGTTTTCACAAGGCTTGTATGAACTCAGGTCTTCCCAAAGGTCTCAAACTCTTTAACAAACTTGGTTGAAATCCACGGTTTCAAAACTTAAAAGAGAAAGCAGACATAGACTGTAGTAAGTCTTGTTTCCTTAGGAAGTGAGGCTATGAATCCCATTTAGATTTAACAGAGCATTTGATCTAAAATGAGAAAGAAAACAGACAGATTTCCCCAACACAATTAGCAAAAATTATAGCCAACTTGGCTATGTCCTTTTATCTCTGCCTAGTAAACCCTTCTTGTAGCCAGGGTTTTCCAAGCAATAACATGCCTTACACCCTGCTGGCATGCCAGAAACACAGCAGTGATGTCCTTTTTCCTACAGCCAAATTTCCTATGTTCAGAGAGGGAGTTTCTCAAGAGCTCACATAATTAATTCCATTCAGTGGGAGCCTTTTGGTCCTGCTTACCCCATATTGCAACCAGTTTCATTAGAAAACCAGTCCACACTGGCAGTGCCCCTCTTAGCCAGAAATGGCCACAAACTTGGATACACAAATCACTCAATATCTTAAACCAGCATCTTTGCACCTAGTAAGAGTACTCTATACAATGTGGTTTTATTAAAAGACACAACCTCCTTCCTTACTTTGTACACATAAAGCTAGCTTGTATCCCTTTCCATTCCTAGTGTCTCCAAAGTAGATGTTTCTAACCATGGATGGAACATTTATTTTTCATTAGGAAAATTTTGATAAGAGTGCTTCAACAGTAATAAATATTAAAACAGGGATGTCTTGGAGATCTCTTCGGAGTTACAGAAAAGCCTTTTAATGTCCTGTTGCTGTCATGCTGCATCCAGACCCCTGCCAGCCTAAGAACAGTCATGTGAGACTGGCTGATCTGGAAGCTGAAATCCTTGTCATCCATGAGATGAAGGAACAGTCCAACAGCTCCTCCTCACTGTGTTCACGGCACACTTTGGCCTAGCCTGAGGGCGCTCAGTCTACCCAAGTTCTGTTTTCTCTCAGAACCTGCCTGGAGTACCAGTTGAGCAGCTGCACTTTAGGAACCGGTTCTTGCACAGCAAAAGAGATAAGGAGACTACAGTAGAAAACTCTGAGCTTGGGAAGTAGACCTTGCTATGACAGACTGTACCAGACTGGAGACTGACAGCTCTTGGCTCTCTAAGGATATCATGTCATCTGTACTAGACTCAGATTTCTTTTCTTTTCTTGATAATGACAGGCTGTGTTTGAGAAATACAAATCAAATATTGTTATGCACTTAATATATTGTGCGCACTGCAGGCATGAGGAAAGATAAATGCACTTTTGCTCTCTCAGTGCCCTGCACTACTTCCATACCACATGTATTTAATATCTCATATTTATAACTACAAGAGACACATGGAACAAAGCTGTAACAAGAAAAATGGAAGAGAAGGATAGGACATTTCCTGGAGTTGTGAGGCTCATACAGACTCTGCCTGTGCTATTATTCAGGTTCTTCTGCACAATGGAAACCATATGCAAGAGCTCAAGCCACTGCAGAAAAAGAAGAAACCAAACACTCCCACACACAGGGACTATGAAATAGCCATAGCATCCTGCCTGTCCACAGTGACTGCCCAATTACCCACACCATGTCAGCAATGCGGATGACATCCTATACACTGTCATCTCCTAGGAGATCCCAGTCCAGAAGCCTTGACAAATAAGCAGGATGCACCAAACAGATATAGTTTGCAAACCCTGTCACGCTGTCTCTGGAGGTTTTAGAGATCCTCCTGCAGACTGTGACAGAGTTGTCAGCTAAATAAGCAGATGGAACAGACAGGCTAGTGAACGCTCTTATACCTCCCAGGGCACTTCCAAACAAAGACAGGGACATGTTGGTGGCCTTCCCAAAACCCATATTAGCTTCCAGTTCCAGCATCTCCTACACTATTAGCTGCCAAAAAACTAAAAGACAGAGTCCCATGACCTCACAGATGGCAAACATATTTCATAAGGGACACTCCATGTACAGCTTCCCAGTGAGCCAGTGTATTGCAAGCAGAGCAGCTACAGCACTTCTCCACTTGCACATTATGACTGTAGTTGTACAGTAGATACCTTCATGTTTACAGCTGAATAAGAGGCACAAAGGTTGCTACATGCAATGCATCTTGATGTATTAGCCACAAAGGAAGAAAGTCCTTATCATTCAGTCAGCATCTTCCTTTGTCTTCAGCTCCACAGGTCGCAGGATAAATGAATTTCTAGCTACATTGTCTGGCTAGTAGTGTCATGTGGGAAGAAAGAAACATCATTTTAATGGCAAAATAAGAAAATGCATTAGCAAATCCAGCCACATTATCAGAAATTCTACCAGTTCACACAGGAAAGAACGCAAAAAGAGAAATTACTGTCGTTATCTATGGCACCCTTCAGTCAATGTAATAGCAGTAATACACTGAACCCATGGATTTTCAGCAGGATGAAACACAACTCCCAAATAAGATTGCCGCTGAATGAGCAGACATCCACAAATTCAGCTGAATTCCATCATTTTTGTGATAAGACAATTAGTAACGTTTAGAATTCAACAGATCCAGCCCAAAGCACATTCACAGTTATACACCGAGTGTCTGCTCTCAGGGGGAACACACCACTACAGAGCTCTGCTCTGCCAAACTTTTCACCTTCCCACCTGTTGCCAACTGATGCAATATTGCTTGTACCTTAAACTGAAAGATTCTAAAATAAATACAAATAAGGGGTATCAGTCACTCGGGAGACAAGAGCTTCACCTCTGGGTTTACATGAATCCAGGATATGGCAATGACACTCCCAACAAGACTTCCTGCAGGCTGCAATATGATGCAGCATTTCCCAAGCAAGCTGAGACCCGAGTGACTGCACTGAATGGAAGTGCAGCAGTTTGCAGATTTTGCAGTCTGGATTCAGAAAGGAACTGAAGGAAAAGCTGACAATAATCACCTGCCTTAGTTTCCCCATTGTATATCAACAGTATCTAACTCAGTGATGTCGCCTTCCTCTTTAACAATGACAGAGAATTAAAATGCAGATGTAGGAGTTCAAAGAAAAGCAAATTGAGAAACTTTTAAAGAATCCGTCAATGGTGCCTCAACTGATGAAAAAATAATTCTAATTGTAATAGTACTTGGTTCTGTTGCAAAACCCCAGTGATTTCAAAATAAATTGAAATAGAAGCTAATAAAAAATTTCATTTTGAACCTGTGATAGTTTCTCTGCACCTGTTCACTGCTTCAAGGCTACAGCTCTTTTCTCATAGGATAATTATTTCTGACCATTCTTTGAGAGTCAAAGAAGAAACAAAACCCTCTTGCTGCTGGATGAGGTTTTAAGCAGACAACCAATTCACTAATGCCAACTGCATTTTTTTTTTAATTACTATTCCAGAGTGCAGAAAACTGACATGTAGAAAGCAGCATCATGAAAGAGTATCCTGAGAGCATAACACAACAGCCGATATCAGCAGTGTTTTGTTGAAGAACCATGAAATATAAGTTGTTTCATTCTTTCATCTCAATCATAACGTAAAGAAAGGTTCTTCAGCTATGAAGTGTGAGGATAAACAGGCTCATGTCAACAAGACAAGGTCAAGTCAGTGGAGGGGGTGTTCTGTAGTGCTTCACAGCTAGTCCCTTTTGTCACTAGACGGTGCTCAGCATTTGGCTATATACTTTCACGTGGAAGACTGCAATAGAGATACTTTTATCTCTGATCTGCTTTTCTACTGCTTGTTAGTTGTTAAGAATACCAAGCAAGTTGTCCATCTGAGTAAGACCATAGTGACAGCAACCTCAGTTGTAGATTTTTCAGTTCCTGTGGCAGCAAGCAATGATGACAGCCTTGTAAGCGACTGTGTTCCACATGAGCTACAGGCTGCAAGTCTTCTTCACTGTCCTAAACTCTTATGACATGTTATTGTGCATCAGTGCATATTCTGCTACATATTAATGCATTCACTGTGGTTCTTATATGAAAGATTTATTATGACAGTAGAGTTTGCAGTAGCAATTGGCAAATAGGTTTGAGCTCCCTTGGAATGAAAAACTATTATATAAAACAGAAAATGCTCACATGTCTCTTGCTTAGGATCTCTTCAGCTACTGGTTTTCCATCATTAGCCTGAGGGTGGGAAATAGTCAGAAATTTCTGTTCTGCTTTGCCCTGACCTTTGTGTCTTCTCTCACTTGTCCTGATGGCTTTACACAGTTTCCCTACTCACCTTCTATCAGTACCAACTGCATCAGAATTTTGCCCATACCATGCTTGTCCCAACAATCTCTGTCTCTCAGGTAGCATCCTGCTTGAGATGTTTGGGTTACAGTCACACCCACTGTTCTGCAACACAGTGATCACACAGAACAAGACTCTCCAAAGCAGAGAGTCTGGGTCTCATTTGTGACACAATTCTCTTTGTAGAAAAATTAATTTAAATGCTTTGTCTTATGCCCATGGTAGAAACACAAGGATTGTCAATCATTTTAATAGCTCTGGGTTTGGTACTTAAATCAGCTTTCTGCAGTCTGATTCCTAGATATGAACAAGGTAGACCATTTCCTTGCTTATTTGACTGATATTCAGGTTGTTCATACTATGGATTTAATAAAAAAAAATCACACAAGCTACTTCATAAGACTAGTGATCTGTGTAATTCAGTGATAGTAACAACAGTATCTGTCCCATGTTTTACACAGACACTGATTAGTGACTATGGAGCTACAGCATAAACCAAAGGTTCTTAATTTTTTCCGTTGAGTAAAAACTCGAGTACATTAAAAATTACTAACCCTAAAAGCCTTGGCAATAATAAATTAATAGCTGTTTGTTGATACCTAGACTAACTGTGCCACAAGATGTGTGCTTTTCACATCACTACTTTTTAAGGAAAGTTACTGATGGCAGAATTCAAATTAAATAATGCACTGCTATTCGTTAGGCTTGTGGTGTCAGTCCTGCAATCTCCAAGCGTCTCATAAGTGTTGCTCCTTGCCTAATGCTTTGGCAGTGTAGCACCACTTATGAATTTGACTTGCAAGTGCTGGAATTTATCTGCACTGTATTCTGGAATATAGGAACTTGCTAATAGTTCACAGAATGATGAACTGTAACAGATTCACTAACTTTAGTTTACAGAATATTGACTTTCCCTCATTTGGATCATCTTTTCAATCTTTTGGAGCACAAATAGAAAATCTCTGATTATAGACAGAAAGTGATCCTCCCTGGTGCAGACCATGTTCCGGCAGACATCCAACAACACACAGATGTACAAAAAATCCAAACTAGTGTAGGTACAGGAAGCACTAGATAGTTCCGCTCACGTTCATCCAAATCAGCGCAGCTCCCTTCTGGGCTTACAAGGAGCTCAGACTACTGCACTACCACACCCGTGTTGTTACTGGCACCTTTGCACAGCAGTACGCTGTGGCACGTGATTGCAGCCCTAACATTAGCAGGGTAACAATATATATCCTTAGCAGGAGTTCATTCTACTCTTCCTAGGAGGTGGAGGTCTTTCTGGCCACCAAGATGCATGCTTATGAACAATATATGTTGAGGAAAGATGAAAAACTCAGTTTAAGGGAATAGTTTCACAAGCACTTACCAACAGTATGTCTGTCACAACAGCCCAGTTTACAGATAGAAACAATTCTCCAAATGCAATAAAAATCTAAAAAAAGAAAAAAAGAAGAAAGCAGTGACTATACACCCTGCACTGACCTTCTTTATTGTGAAGATGAAGGCAGGCTCACTGACTATGCTTACTGATGTTGTTGTACATACCCACCTACTTACAAACGAAGCATCTCTGTCTATGTTTACAAATGATAACTTCATCTTAAAAAGGGGAAAAGGAAGCACAGCAGGTATGTGGGTTGTTTTTTGTCACAGATCTTCAGCAGAAGAGCCAAAATAGGAAACATACACCACCCTCCCAAATAAACATTAATGAACTGCTGAACCCAGGAGGAGGAAAGCAGGAACTTGTAAAGAGAAACACTCAACACAGGTTTAAAAACTGCTCAAAGATCTCCCTTTGCTCAGGTTTCCAACTGAAACAAATAGAACACCTCTGTACCAGTGCAAGTACTCTTAAAGACTCCTCCAGAGACACAACTTCCAAAATGAAATGGACTCCAAGAGACAGGCAGCCTCAAAGCCTTGGGGCCCTGTGGGAATTCCCTAATTCATCACAGATGGAGCCTCAGCCATCAGGAAAAGGGGAAGGGCCCCCAACAGTTCTTACACCTGTGGTCTTAGAGAAGATTAACTCTTTCAGCTACCCCTGGACATAGATTTGAGCAGGCTGCACAAACTAATTGATACTTGAGGAAAGCATTAAAAATTACATTATTAAGCTGGAGCCATTCTAGAAGGCAGAATCTATTTAGTGACACAGGTAACAAAGTCAGATGGCACCTAGGAAATAAAATCCAATACAACAACAGATGCCAGCATCTTATTCAGTAAGGTCTTGGTCAAGATGTTGCATCTGGTTGATGAAAATGTAGTCCTAAGAAAAGCAGAGTGGCAAACTCTCAGATGTTTTCAGAGGGTAGCTTACATTCTCCTATGAAGAACCAGACCTATTAAACATCTTCCTATAATACCCCTCCCTCCTCTGTGTTTCTTACTTGTACTGTCCATGTCTTTTCCTCTCCAAACCAGTCTGGAAAAAAAGGTCCTTGAAGTACAGAGATATTTAGACCTTTCTCCAAACATCTTTTCCTTCAAAATGCTTTATATAGGTTTTCTAATTTGCAGCTGTATCTCCATACATAACTATTTTTCTTTAAAGTTTATAACAAATATCACCTGATTCACATAATCCTTGACTATGTCTTAGCTCGTGGATTTATGCATCCCACTAGCAAAGTCTTTCCACTGATACAACCTTGGCAGACCTTGCCCTGGCAAGAGACAGAATGCAACCATTCTTCTCCAGGTTCATGACTGTTGCAATAATAGCCTATAGACTACAAAAACCATGCTGAATGACAGTCTTAGCTGGAAAGCAAGTGACACACATTTTATTAGAGAACTTTGGGCCAAACACAAATTGGAATGTGTTCATTAACATGGGTAGCAATATCACACAGTTCAGTTTTTTGCCAAGCCACCTGGCAATAAGGACTACCAATGTCAAATCTTGCAGCCACCAGAGAAGATTAGCCCTTTATCATCTTATTTCAAGATAATACTCTCTGAACTCTCTTGGAAGATCCAAATTCATAAAAGATCTTCCTTTCTTTTTGCCCCTTGATTCCATACAAATAAACATTAAATGTGCTATTACTTAACTTAGAACTGCAGCCTGTGAAGTGGTCAAAGTAGTACTCACAGAGGAATTATAGAAAAATGCAGAAGTGCAGTTGAGTCCTGCTATACAGTGACAATGGCATGAACTTATGTAAATTCTGTCAGTTGTGCCATAGCTAGCAAAAGATAGTGTATGCTAAAGTGAAACACAAAGGAGAAAAAGAACAAAGGGATTTATTTAAATCCTGGGTGATATTTTACATATGACAAGATGCAAATCCAACAGTTAGGAGGTTCTGCAGACTTCCAAACTGTTCCTAGATACCATCAGTGGAGTAGATGACTACCTGCCTTTATACATCAAATGTTCTCCTTTATAGGAATCTTGTGATGTTCAGCACTTTTAAAGTGTTGTTTCCAGTTCTCCTTTCTCTTCATGCTTTTCCCAAGTTATTTAGTCTTTACAAGCCCCTAAGAACAAGAGCATGTCATGCCTAGTGCAAGAAAAGAAAGCTAAATTCATCTTTAGGAAATAAGTTATACTCTAAACCTAGATACCAAAGGAATAGGAATTAATGAAAAATTATCCATGATAAGAAAACGTTATATTTAGTGGTTAAGGCTTCATACTTCAGAGAATAATTATTTCATACATAATTGTGTTAACATTAAAGACACAACTTTGTTAGCTTTTCTTTTCTATCCTAAGATCTTGTGTGGATTGCAATTGTAGGGTCACCAGAAAAATTTAACCCAGACAGCTTTGGAAGATAATAAAACATTCTACAGATTTTATCGAGGTATTCTGTCTGCAACCAATATCAATTTTATACTTCTCATGCAGAATAAATGCAATATGGTTGAATAGCTGGCATACTAAGACATCCAACTGCATAAAAACCCTGTAATCAATGAAGAGAAGTGAGTTTTATGTTCTTTTCTTCAAAAGAGGTGGAGACATCCTGGAAGTACTGTACTTGGTTAGGGAGAAGGGTTGAGGATGGCAGGAAAACAACAGAGCAATGCTCTATTTAAAGTGTATACTTCTGTTCCTACCATCTCTCAATATTCCTCATACTGTGTCAAGTTCTTATTTTAAATTAGTACAGAAAGTGTTTCCATTAAATTTGTCCAATCATGTTTGTAGCATGTCTATTCTAATCTGCTAAGCATACCTAGAAAAGCATGAACCATTGTATTTTATTGCTGTCACCTTCTCCAGGATCCCCAACTTTTTAAACAAACACTTAAAGTTGATCTCCAAAGGATACAACCAGAATAATGTCCCAAAATTTAAGGGGATTTTGCTTTGTAGATGACTGTTTACATTCACACCTAAGCTAATATGAAGAAAATTAGATTGTAATCAATGTCAGTGCCAAGCACACATTCTGATTTTAAAGAGTCACATGCCTCAACAACAAAACAGGGAATCAGTATGGCTGGACCATAAGTGAGCAATAATTTCTGTCTTTTCAAAAAGAACCACACCAGGCAGGTGTATTGTAGACAATAGCTGCAGAATACCTACTTCAAAGGCAAGCTGCAGGTCAAGACAGCATCCTGATACTGCATTACCATCAAAGATAAGTCTGCTTAAATCTATATTACTGCAACAGCAACTATTGTCCAAGGTTCCTAGTCATGACTTTCCAAAGCATCTGCTGCACTGCAGAGAGCACACATATTTCATTTTGTTTTGGAGACAGGAACAGATTTAGACAGAGCCTCCTCTGAGATAACAAAGCCAGGTAATTTTTCTCTTGTCTTTTCAAAGGTAGTCTTTGAAATCAAGAACTGGGTGTCCAGAAAGAGAAATCTCATTACATTGCAGTTCACCTACCCCAACAGAAACCTTGGAAGTCCAGCCATATTTCCGTGTTAACTTGAGAATTCTTGTGCTTTGAAAGACTTCTTCCAGCTTTGGCCATAACTGATTAAACCTGTCTTGTTCCCTTTTATTATCCACCCAAGACAATGGAAAGCACCATACAGAAGCCACTATAATTGCACGCTGATGCAAGTCTGCTTTTTTGCTTCAGTAGCTTCTGCACTGTGAAGTGATAGAGACAGGTTTGTTAACATCAGTGTGCCTGAGTACACAGTGACTGGAAAGCCAGTTTCCTGCTAGTGTCCTACACAAATGGAAGATTTGTTTCAGTGGGACCTTCAAATTAGATGCACCAGCTGGCACGCCACTCCAATTCTCACACCAGTATGACTAATGTCAGATCTTGTTTAGAAAGCAAGGAGAGGCATGGCTGGTGCCAGAGAAGCAGTAGTTAAGCAGCTGTAGTGGTAAGAGTACTAGAAGAATCAGGTGTTTGGATTATGTACAATTTATTACCACTGCACACTGTTGACATTACACATTGGAACACCTGAATCTAACACATCAAACAAAAGACAAAATGGCAAAGTCTTTGGTTAAAAGACCAACTGGTCTGCCCATGGGAAGAAACTTAAGGAACACAGTTATCCATACCCCAGTCCAGACTTTCCTCCCAGATAACACACCGCTTGAAATCAGAAAACAGAATACTGTTTGCAAGGAGAGAAACTTTTAAAACAAATTCCTTTTTATCAGTCCTAATAAAAGGTGTATTTTGGTAATTCAAAACCAATACATTGATTCACTCATCTAACACAGACTGGCAAGTGGTACTGTTGCTCTCCACCTTTAATGACAAAAAAAGAACTGAAGAACATACGCAGAGCAGGACTATGTGGGAACCTGAGAGGCAGAAAAAGAAAACGGCTAATTCTTTTGGAACTCAGATCTCCACTTTTGAATCTAAAAATAATCTTCAATTTCACATTTTGCTTTGTGTACACACAGTCAGACATGCAAATCCATTTGTTTTTTCCCTTGATGTAAAGGTGTTTTTCCACAGGAATACACATTCCTGAGGAGCCAAAAGGAAAATATCTTTGAATAAGTGTTACTCTTAGAAGCAAAAAATCTGCAAAACTGCCCTTTTACAGAGAAATGTTGATTACAGTAATCAACTTTACTTGGATCCTCTTATTTATGTTAATCATGGTAATTGTGTCTATGAAGTCACAGAAAAAAAGATTGAAGTCCTTCCCTAGCTCTTTACCAGATTATAGTTAAAATAAGGTTTACATTCAGTTCCTTCTCACAGGGAATTTTTGGAATTATTCATTGTTCCTAGTAAGTTTCTGTTTTACCATTTACTGACAACAGAATTTAAGCAATTTATACTTCAGCTTGCATTGCCAAAAGCTTGACTTTGAAGATCAGCGAGTGGTTTGGGGCTTTGAAGGCGACGGCTAAATTATTCTTAGCAAGAACTGTGCATATTGTACAGTCACAAGTACACCAAGCTTTAAGTATTCAGAGAGCAAAAATAAGTAAGAATACCAAATTAGTCACATAGCATTAAAAATTAACATAAGATTGAGACTTCCTTTAACTACATTTTTGGATAAGGGACACTCTAGCTTCCTGCAGCTAACTACATAGGTTTACTATTCTCTTCTTTACTGTGGGTGGATTGTATAGGTCCTGAGGCCCAATTTATAAGTTCTGAGTGCCTGAACCAAATAATGCACAACATGGCTCTCACAGGACAGAGCACAGCTGCAGGCAGTATTACAGCAACATGCACAGTCCTTATTGACAAGCCCACCTTGTCACAAGTCACTGAAACCTCTTAATGGTCTAGAAGATAATAGAGAATTCTGCAAAAGTCACCGCTTCCTCCTCCTCCCCCTTCCCTGTCTCCCCAGGACCTCAGAAAACATTTTGCTAATGATAGACAGATCAGCACTTACAAATGTGGAAAGGATGTTTTTCTCGGCCACCATCAGAGCTATGTACAGGCACAGAGCAGAAATGAACATGCTTGTGGCACAGATCAGAGGATCAGCTTTATTGTTTATCTTCCTTAATCTTCTTGCAGCTTCTGCCCCAGTAATGACACCCAAGATTCCTGTCCCAATGGTGATGCCTCCAAATATTAGGCTGGTGACAAAGCAAAGGATTTAGATGAGCATAGTAAGACCATAATGTGGAAAAAAAAAATGGTGTTAGCTTATACCTTTAGTTTCAGAGGACTCTTTAATGGGGGACTTGAATTTTATTCCAATTGATCTGACCCTCCCACTCTCTAAATGGATTTAATCCCAAGCCTCAATTGAAGCTATGCCTCTGCACCTGAGCCTCTATCCTGTGGAGCAGGTATTTTCCCATTTACAGAGCAGGTGTTATGCACTCAGGCTCAAAGAGGACTCTTCTCAGTATGACCTGGCTTGGCCATCCAGTGATGTAGAGGAGACACAATCATCTTGGTTACCCTGTGAACCAATCTACTCAGTCATCCCTAAAACACAGATGGAATAATGTATCACAATCTGCTGTCTTGGAAGATATCCTATCACATGGAATTCTATACATCTAAATTACAGCCCTCTAGTTAGTACAGCTGAGATGAGTCACTTCTCTGACTATGGGAAACATCTATCACTTCCCAGAAGAGTTGAAATACTGAATAGTTAACAAGAGGGAGGTCTATCTAATTTTTTCGGAATGCAGAATGTCAAATGCCACACAGCATTGTGTGTCTGCAAATGTGTTCTCCAGGAATGACAAGTTCATGTTTTAAGAGTATGTGTTTGAATAGCTTAGAAGATTCAGCTTCCACGGGGACTCCTGTATATGCTTTCCTCTCTGTCCCAAATGAGATCATAATGACAAAGCAAGTCTCTTGCTACAAGACTAGTGATGCCACTGATTGTTTAATGCATTGTAAATCTCCTGAGGCAAAGGAGGAGAGGAGCACAAGTGCTTCTAAATATTTCAGAGTGCTGCATGGTAAGTTCTGTACATTTTCCTAAGCTTCCCCTGACTGCAAAGTAACCACCTAGGATATGATCTGTTCCTTTAAACTACAGCGAACCTACTTTTTAATTTCTGGGTGATTAGGAAGAACTCAATACTTCTACATGGGAAAAAAAAAAAAGTATTTCTATACAAGATAACAAACTTTAAGCATATTTGTACTCTCCCTGTAAGTTCTTTGGGACTCTGATCCATCACTCAGTACTGCTGGATGGTGACAACACAGATTGTCTGTAGGGAGAATATTTTAAAGATTTGTCTGGGAGAGGCAAGTTCCAAAGTGACATTAGTTGATCAAAGCATTCATGGAATTGTGTTTAGAAGATTCATCTGTTGTAAACTGAAGTTGAAATAAATTTACAGCTGGAAGAAAAGGGAACAGCCAGAACTAAATCCAAGCACAGTTCAATGGACAGTGAGTAAGAAAGTACAGAAGTCTAGTCCTGGTGAAAGGCTCCTTTGGGATCTTTTAAGGTCAGAGAATGCTCAATTATCTGTCTGATCTGTTCAAAAGTGTCTGCACAAGGAACTGAATAAAAACTTCATACTGTCTATTTATCTACCTTGAAAGGATTGAGACCTGAGTCAGCTGTGGTGCCATCTGAATTTGTGTTTCCAGTGAGTCTAAGTGACACAGCCCTGATCCTTAAACAAAGCCTGCAACTGCTGAACAGCCAGAGGGGAAAACGTCCTTAAAGTAGCCCTGGGCAGGTCTGGGAATGTGCAGCTCAGTTCTTCCAGCACCATCAGCTACAGGTCTGACATGGTTGTTTATATCACGTTTCTTTGCATCCCACTGGAATAACAGTCTAAAACTGACCTTATGCTGTTTCTGGCACTAGCTTATGCCAAGGCTATTTTTAAAGCATCCTGTAAGAAGCAGTACATGAGGTTAAACTATCAGGTGCTCCATTTTACTTCCCTGAAGACCATGTCTGCTCTAGCAACCCTACTGTGGAATAATAATTCAGAAGGTGGATTAGAAAACAAAACATAGGCTAACACCTTCAGCTTAAAAAAGGAAGTATTTAAACTGTGTGCCTTCTCTGCCTACCCTGAGCAGGACTCATGAGTTCTCTCCCTTCCTCCACATCACTTGCTATTAAGTAATGTGCCAGTGGTGGCATCCATGGAAGGACAGTTGTATTTCCCACTGAAGTACTTGTGGATGACTATTCAGTCTATCCAGTTACACTACAACTCAGAAACCACTTTTGAGTTGGCTCGGTTATTCCATTGCAGAAAAGCAAAAGAACCCAGTTAGCAGAGGACACACTCAAGGTATGATTACTGCTTTTCTCTTTAATTGTCTTTGCCTGGAAAGACAAAGTAGTAAGCAGTTAGTTCTTGGAAATCCATCATGAAGGCAGGGACTGAAACCAGATTTGGGATACCTCCAGAAGAAAGGTAGGGACACTTTTATGGAAGCCACTGGTAGGGAGTTGGTACACAGAAGAGAAGTGTCCCAGTGCTCACTGTTACTGAGGGCAGTCATGAAGACTCGAGAGGAACACGGAATACATTTTTCTATTCCAGTTAACACATTGTAAGGAAAAAAAGTTCTCTTCCTAGCTGGGGAAAAGTGATCTCCAAAAAATTGTGTTATGATTACTTTGAAGTCCTCTCCTGTTGTAAATTCCCCTTGCCCACCAAACGTATGATACTTATTCATTAATCTTTCTTGGTCTGGATAGCCTCTGTAAGCAGAGCTCTGCTGACAGATACTCAAAAGACCAAATTATCCTGTTTTGATGTAATAATAAGATACTAGATCAAATTCATTGAGCTTGACTTATGCTGGGAGTAACAATGACCTGGCCAACATAGCAGGAGTTTTAAAACCAGACTAACAAGAAGGTAATAGGACAGTTACCAAAACACAGGATCTAAACATACTTAAATGAGTATTCAGGTTGGTTGGGGTGAACAGTCAATTGTCAACTGAAGTCCCTTTCTAAAGCTACTTGTTTCCCTGCAAGTGTTCCTGTTACTGCTTCTTTCCACTTTACTTAAATAGGGCTGGCAGCATCTTTCCAGTTAACCGAGTGACTATAAACAAACAAATAAGAGTGTCTCGGCATACCTGGCAGCAACCTACTCTAACATTCACACCCAACTGCCTTCATGAGAAGTGTTCAAGGTCACATCCCACCTGCTGCCTTTGGAAATAAGCTGTGACTTAGCACTGTGCAGTGTTTTCAAGAATGTTTCCACAGTCGTGCACACCTCACCTGTTAGATGAATTGCTTGATTTTTGGAGGCATGGTGATACAGTGCCCTGGGCAATCTGAGCCCTGTAAAGAAACTGTGGCATCCACATTCCCAGGGCTCCAGTAACAAAGGCCATGGCAGTCAGACCCAGTGAGGACCAAACAAAACTCCAACTGAAAGTTAGAAGAAAGAAATGTGAGATACTAGAAAGAATGGGCTGTGAGGAAAAAGGGGAAGCCTACCTGCAATATCCAGGATTTCAAGCAATAATAAAACAATTCTTTCAGTCATAATCAAAATGCACTCCCTTGAAGATACTAATTTTGATGAGACTTTATCTACGAACTTCAACAGTAAATTACTATTAGACCTACTGATTTCATGCTAAATCCCAGTCCTGATCTCTTGCAGATTTCATTGCCAACTTACTTCTGCTAAAACAATTGCTGTGAAATTTTTGATAGCAGAACAACAATAGAGAGTAGGCAAGAACTTAATGGCTTAGTAGCTAAATGAAAGTGTTCTATGTGCAAGCCTCAGGATGTTTTTAAGTTGTTTGTGTAACCAATATAAATGAGAGTAACATCTGGGTCTTCCAAACTGTTAAGATGCAGTGGCTGAAGCACTCCTTAACTCTACCCGAGGAAGTAAAAATGGACTCTTAGTCTGCACAGAGAGTTTTCAGACAAAATGAGACATTGTAAGAAACTGTCCAATTCTTGCATCCCTCCTGACCTATTCTAGGAGTAAATTAACTTTTGACTGGTCTCTTTCTAGTTAATAGTTTAGGAGAAAATTCCCTTTGAAGGCAATAGGGAGGTATGAAATATTAAGACTAAATAAAAGTGCGGCAGATGACCAGATGACCAGCAGACTAAACGATTTGTTAAGATATTAATGTAATTTTTCATCTTCTAAAGATAAAGGGCTCTTGAATAAAAGCTGAACCACCTGTTTTTTGGCAGTATGTCCTTATGCTTTGGAAATCAACTGCTAAAGGAAAAGCAAGTTAAAATCTGTTTTTACAACATTGCTGGAGGTTGTGAGCAACAACTTTGGAGTAAAGCAACTTTGCCGTTAGGAAGGTTTATTTTTGATTCACTTCAGACTGCACTGCCTAGAAATTGTGATCCAGGAACCTGGATCTCTAACGCACATGGTGTTCTGGATGCAGCCAGGACACAAACCGAACCGTCAATTAGAAAACGCTGGATCTTCTGCAGGAGGGACACTCCGCAGACAGAGGAGGTCTCGGGCAAGCAAGAGGGACTTGTCTTTCCCGGGAAGCCCTGCCAGGGCGGGCAAGCAGCGGCGGAGTCAGGCGGCCCGGGCGCGG